GTCATGTTCATGATCAGAGCATCGGATAACCGCCGTAACCCAAGTTTCATAGAGAGTTTCTTCGATAGTATTTCGCGAGCGTAATAATTGAGTGAGGGCCAAGTTGCGAACCGTTCCCGCATGGAATGTGTCTTTAAATGGCGTATATCCGGGTCATACACATTATGGGGCATACAGGAATACAAGATGCAAGAAATCTGAAAAATGCAAAAAATGTGCCACCAGGGGATCCGATCCATAAACCCACCGAATGAGAGCCCGTCACGCTATCCACTCACAACGCTTCATGCACTGCGACGATGGGAAATGCAGGACCTGTTGAAGAGAAAGCGCAGATGACTGGAAAACTCCAATGCAGCTCACCACATGCCAAGTAAAGCATTTGGATTTTGACCTTATTTTGCGCTGTTTTTCATGCCTGCTCAAAGGATACCCTACATACTATACCCTGTCAACGCTACAGCTAGAACAGAGGCGAATAAGGTGGTTTAAAAAGCCCATTCTTTTCGAATTATTTTTGACCTTTTTTTGACATTCCCAGTACCGTTTAGCAAAAATGAACCCCATCGCTGTGGTCCTCGCATAGACCCCTACAACATGCAACAAACCGTTTTGAAAAAGCTCACCACGGCCTGAACGACCTCCCTTGTGAGACACCGAAGATTCGGATCATCTCGCAACTGGGAAGACCGGAGAATCCGTTAAAAAGAAGGCACGGTCCTGTTCGCGGCGGATGCCGGGACGTGTCAGAGTAGTCGCGTCTGGCGCGGCACCAGCCTCCCTTCCACAACTGTTGTCGCTCTCCTGCTCCCATAGCTGTTGGGAATGAGGTGGGGCTGCGCCGAACCTAGCCCCACTTGACACGCCCCGACAACAAAGACTGTGTATGCTTCAATCAGAGATTTAGAGAGTGCGGGAAAAAGGTCAGGTACATATTATATATATCGACATCCGATTTTCTACGAGACGGAGTCAACAACATGTATCTAACTTTTTCGCGGAGTCTCTAGCTCACCAGATGAACTCTTATGTTTCTTTTTTGCGGATTCTCCTGTTCTACGCTGTCGGAATGTATGAACCCTGCCTGGTACCAATCACATAACTCAAAATCTCACATTTTCTTAAGGCCTGAACCGCAGCCACTGTGTGGGAGGCACAGTTGTGATTGACGTAGTCATCAGTTGCCTCTATTGATGTCGCATTAGGGGACCAATCTGAAGTCGTCATTGAGGCAGGCTGAGTTGCATCATTCTCGGCACTCGCACGACGTGATGACGATGACGATGGAAGAACAGCGTGCGTTAGACGCACATCACTTGCGATAGGATGGACACAGTACCTGTAGCAAAAGTGAATTCATAACCCGTACGAATCACAAGGCTGCGTTCAACTTTACGTCAGTGTATGCAGCATACACCAGCGTACAGCAGCACTAGCAATCAGGGAACTATAGGTATCGATCTAGCGAACGCCAGCGTCCACCAGCGTTTACCGGCGTTCAGCAACATTTTCAAGAGCAGTTCAGGGCACAACATTGGTTGGGGATTTCGGTCGAGTCCGTACGATCCCCCCTTCCTTTTTTTGGGGCGGGGGGGGGGGGGTTGGTACGACTCCCCACCCGTCCCTTTGTCCCTCCTCATCGAGCTGTCGAGCGGCGGGAGGGAAGGGGGAGAGGGGGGGTGGGTAAATAGCACATGTGAAACGGGAAGTCGCGAGAAGAATACGACCTCCTCCCTTCTCTCCCTTCTCAATTCTCAGATTTTCCCCAACTTCCTGCCACTTTTCCAAATGTTTCTGGAAATTTCCCTTTCTCCTAAAAATTTTGCTGCCGAGCGCGGGGGGGAGGGGCAGGGGGTATATAAATAGTACACATGAAACAGGAAAAGTACGAAAAGTCAACCGCTTGCCCCCCCCCCTAAAAGACCAAAAAGTAAATGCAATATCCCCCCTCCCAACAACGAGTCAGTACGACCCCCCCCCTTTTTTTACAACGTCCGTGAAACAAGAAAAATCAACTATCAAAATAAATTTTTCTCAGCCCAAATACGACCCCCTGTTGGGGATTCCCCAACAACGATGTGCCCTGGAGCACTTTGCTCAAATTCAAAAGTGCCCGCGAAAATGCTGCTGTACGGTGAACGCTGGCTTTCGCTAGATCGATATATATTGTTTTCACTTTAAATTCACCCCTTTTCAAACCAAATTCACCCACCTTCCAAATCGAATTCACCCACCTTCCAATCGAATTCACCACTTATTAGGCTGCGCAAGTCATCAACCAAATCACGCCAGACACTACTGCGGGCCCCGCCCCCTCGGCCACGCCCACTTGCTTTTTGCGGAATTTTGATATTTTTTCAAAATTTTTGCATTTTTGGACTGCTGCGTGAAGCCCCGCCCACTGTTCGAGCATTTTTGGACTACTGCGTGAAGCCCTGCCCACTGTTCGAGGCTCCGCCCACTTTGGAAAAGCCCTGTCCACTTTTC